CAGATCCTGCATTTATTTATCCTACAGAAGCTACAGCCAGAGAAGCAAGAAGCAGCCTTATAGCCCAAAGCCTATTAAGTGATATTCTACTTCTAAGGAACCAAGCCAAAGCAACAATCCTCCCAAATGTGTGCTTTCTCCCTTTAGGGAGAGAGCACTCCCTCTGGACTTCACTGAGTTTCCCTTTTGGAAGGGGCTGCTAGGGAGCTCAGAGACACCTCAGACCCTCAACCGCTGACTTTGCTCCTGCAGTGTGAGTGTCCATTAGGCAAACTGGATATAACCCAGTGGATTATTTATAGTATGCACCTGGCTTCACAGGGTCCCCTGGGGCACCAAAGGAGCCATAGGTAAAAGGCTTTGAAGTCTTAACATTAGCTTTGAGACTTTATCATAACATTGGCTGGAAAAGAGGATAAACGAGATTTAAAAAAATATGTAAGATGCTTTGCACTGAAGTCAGAGCTGGTGGCCATAAGGGGGGGGGTGGCACTTAATCTGACAGTTCTGAAGCTACTGATATTTAGATCTTACAGCTATGAACTCTCAGCTACAGAAACAACTTTACTGTTGGGACTCTTGTAGGAAAAATTATTTTTATTATTGTGACTCTAAAGATCTCTAGTCCAAAGCCCCTTTTTTGTTTTGCTCCCACTGAAACCATTTCTTTTATAACTGTGACCCAGAATGCGTGGTTGGGCTGATGTTAAAGCCAGAAAGGCCCATCAAGGCTTAGTACATATGCCTCCACCTTTTTGTCAGGATGTTGCTTTTTTTTTTCTTATCTTTGAAAAAATATTAATGTGGGCAAGTCACTTAACTCAGCACCTGGTATATAGCACACACTCTGTAAACATTAGCTGTTATCATTCCTACTCTTGTTTTATTAATGGTAGTATATATAAATGCACTTTATAGTAAACAACCTCAGATCCTTTCTGGGGAGAATGAGGTGAATGGCAAAGAAATCCTAGGAATCGGGGTATATTCTAAATGCCTGGATAGAGTGAATTTTGTTCCAGTGTCAGATGACCCTTCATGGGGTCACCCTCTATCCATCAGATGATGCCTGGCTGTCACTCCTTCCTAAAGCCGACCTAGATAAAAAGAAACTCCTGATTGGAAAAGAGGAGGGAATTTGCATAATGTAAGCATGTACCAGGTCCCTCCAAATACTTGATCATATTCAAGGAAGGTAGGACTTATTTTCCCCCACTTATGTATAAAAAAGTTGAGTCGAAGTGAAATTCAGTAATTTACCAATGGAATATAGCTAGAAAGTGGCCACACTGGAGTTGAACCTAGATCTTTATGACTTTGAAAACTGTAATCCTCCACTGTCTGGAATCGGTTCTCAGGCTTCACTACTTCTTTAGGGAGCCTGTAGTGAGTTTTAGCTCTCTAAGTTTGCATTTGTTTAAAAAGCAGCATCCTGAGTTGTGATTTACTTTCTTTGTGATCATTCCTCATTTTGAAAGCAGCCCACCTCTAGACCTCTGACTTCTCTTACTTGGTCAGACTTCTCATCTGTAACCCAACCCAGGACCTTATGAGAATCTAGTCAAAATAAGTTATCTGCTGTCAGGCTGCTTGAATATTTTATGGTGGCCTGGATGGAGGCGGAGGACAGATCACTCTGCTCTGGGGGCAGGTGAGGCAGCTAATAGATCAGCCACAGGCAGCAGATGTCCAGGGGCTGGGATAGATGGCCCATCAAACAAGGCAAGCAGACAACGGTGCTTCAGGTTAAGCATCTTGCTAAGGACAGGGCTGCATGCTTGTAAGAGGTCAAAAATTTTTTTTTAAGATTTTATTTATTTATTCATGAGAGACACACAGAGAGAGCCAGAGACACAGGCAGAGGGAGAAACAGGCTCCCTGTGGGGAACCCGATGTCGAATTCAGTCCCAGGACCCCAGATGCTCAACTGCTGAGCCACCCAGGGGTCCCAAGTAGTCAAATTTTTAAATTCCCAATTTAGGTAGTCCCTCAAATTTGGACTTGGAGGACAAGCTGCTTTAACATTTTTATAACCCTTATATCAGGCCTTGAATGACCTTAGACACACACACACACACACACACACACACACACACACACATCCCAGAGAAGGCTAGTTGAGCACCCCAATCTGCAGATGGGTAAACTGCAGCTCACAGAATTTAAATGACATGCTCTAAGTCACCCTGGAGGTAATGGCAACTCTGGGATCTGATCCTGGTTCTCTCTGTCTCCATCTAAGAGAAGTGACCACTTATTGAAAAGGTCTTGGGACATGGAGAAAGAAAGGAAATGTCAGTTCTCTTGCCATGTCTTCCACCCACTGCCTATGACCAGATCATTTTTGCCATGGGAGCTGCAACTTCTACCTTCCAAGGAATTCTTGGGATTTATGTGATGTTATTACCAACATGACTCTCAGAAAAACCAAATGCAAGGTGGCTAATGTGATAAGAACACTTCCGACTTCCCTTGAGAAGGGACTCTCAAGTCACGGAGAATACAGCAGTGCTCAACCATGTCATTAGGGCCCAGGGTCCTTTCGTAAGTCACTGCTCTGCCGGTCCTTAAAAGCAGAGCCGACACATTTGACTTACACTACGTAGAATGAAAACCACCTAGGTTCACACAGGGCCACTCAGCGGTGACGGGGCCTGGGCCAAGACCCCTGCCCTCCCTGTGCCTGCCTCCTCTTCTGCCTCCCCTGGGTGCTGTGAGGACCCACAGAGGCCACGTGCAGGAGCCTCTAGCCCACCACTCAGCACGTCAGGAGAGGCCCAACAGTGCCCTTCTTTCTCCCTTGCAACCGGAAAAAGACTCCAATCTCGTTCCCCAGAGAAAGAGCCTTTGGTTTCAAATCCCCTTCCAAACCCACTGGCCCTAAGGAAACCCCACCTTGCGTTTTGCCTTTGATTCAACAGTCCCTAGAAATGGACTGTTCCGGATGGTGGCCAAGTCAGCTCCGTCCTACCTGCCGTGTGGCCTGAGCACTTGCTATTTCAGTCACGGTCACTAAGTGCTCCCGTCTAAATCTCTTGAGGCTACAAGGTACCAAATGTTTTGAATTAATTGGCTTCTATTTTCCTTCCTGTGCATGTGCCTCGGTGCCTTTTTAGGGCAAGATTGACGAGAGGAATCCTTCCTGAATTCTGGCAGCCCTGTTTCAACTTGGAGTTAATTATCTCTGATATGCTATACAATTCCCTCTGTAACTTTTATGACATGGAGCGGAGGCATAATTTATCCAAGTCTATCATTTGAGGCTTTTTTTTTTTTTTTGCTAAAAGAAAATTATTGTGTGTGCTTTATAAAAGCATTCATTCCATCCCTCATTGTTTATTCACAGGATGTTTATTGAGGACACACTTCTGTGCCCAGTATTACACTGGGTCTCTTATAATTCAGGTTAACTTCTCATAGGCCTATCAGGTCAGTAGTCTTATTGTCATTTAGCAGAGAAACAAAAAAAAAAACTAAGTTCAGAATGAAGAGGGGGTCAGGAAAAAAAAGAATGAAGAGAAGGTTGATGTCTTTCGTCCTCATCCCTACCCACTTAGATGTGTGTCTACCAGGAGCTATAGGTCTCCATGACTTTCATTCCCAATAACACGTTTCCTCTGGGGCCTGATGGCTGGTTCCAGCTTCACTTTGTTGTCTTACCATCCCTGGTTTGTCCCTTACCTCTCCAACATGGCCCTTTCCCATGGATCTCCATCAGAACCACATTCAGGGCACGGCCATCCTTCCAGGGCCCTAACTGATCCGCCTGTCAGGAGCATGCAGCTGACAACAAAGAAGCAGTTCTGAGATTCCACATTCCCCTGTCCACTCTCATCCACCCTCCTGGCCCTGTTATCCTGAGAACTTGTTCCTTCATTTGTTTGTTTGTTTGTTGAGGACAAGAAAAAGAAAGCCACATTGTATCTTCAAATGTCTCTGCATTTTTGATAAAAGGGAGTGGGCCTCTTTTAGAATCCAGTGAGAGTGTGTGTGTTTCACTTCGAAAATTCTATTCTAGTTGACCCAATTGAAATCGATCATGGGGTTCCTTTTGAGACTCCTATCCTACTGAGGATCCAAAGACAGCTGTGGGGAGCCCTGTTGATTAAGTTCCTTAGGACTGCCATAACATAATATGTACCCTGGGTGCTTAAAACAACAGATAGGTGTTCTCCCCCAGTTCTGGAGGTCAGATGTCTGAAGTTACAGTGTCAGCAGGGCTGTGTTCCTTCTGAGACTCTGGGTAGGATCCTTCCTTGCCTCTTCCCAGATTCAGGTGCTGGCAGTAATCTCTGACCTTCCTTGGCTTGTTGCCACATCTCTCCAGCCTCTGCCTCTACTCACCGGGCATTTACCCTGTGTGTCTGTGTGTCTCCTCTTCTTGTAAGGCACCAAGTCTTATTAGATTAAGGGCCAGCCCACTCGAGCTTGACCTCAACTATTTGCACTGTCAACAGTCCTATTTCCAAATAGGGTCACTTTCCAAGGTACTGAGGGTCAAGACTTCAACATATCTTTTTGAGAGACACAATTTAACCAACAGCAAGAGCTATCACTTAAGTCTGGGGATGACTTGCTGGGAATCACACTTGGAGACTGGCAAAAATGATTTAAGGAAAGAAAAAGATCAAGAGTTACAGTAAACATTGAAGGACAGCCCTTCCTTCCTCTATCCCTCCCTTCTTCCTTCTTTCTGTTCTTCCTTTCCCTCTTTCTTTTTTATTTTTTTAATTTAAATTCAATTAGCCAACATAAAATATATACTTAGTTTCAGATGTAGTGCTTAGTGGTTTATCAGTTGCGTATAATGCCCAACATTCATCACATCATGCGCCCTCCTTAATGCCTGTCACCCAGTTACCCTATCCCCCCCACCCACCTCCCCTCCTTCAACCCTTAGTTTGTTTCCTATAGTTAAGAGTCTCTCGTGGTTTTTCTCCCTTTCTGATTACTTCCCATTCAGTTTTCCCTCCTTTACCCTATGATCCTCTGCCCTATTTCAAAAAATGGAATGCCTCATGAATTTGCATGTCATCCTTGTGCAAGGTCCATGCTAATCTTCTCTTTATTGTTCCAATTTTGATATGTGTGCTGCTGAAGCGACCACACTTTCTTTATTTATTTATATGACCGTAGGTGATATTTTCACACATCAGCTCACATCAGTTCATGGTCACATTTAGACTGACAGGCATGGCAGTGGTGGAAACTCTGAGAAGTGGATGGTGGGACTAATCGCCAATCTCATAGACCTAACAGCACCTGCAGGTGCCTTCGATGTGTACATATATGTGCAGTGACTGGGAGATGTGGTAGACTTAAAAAACAAACCCTTCTTTTTGTCTTTCAGAGCGATATTTATTGATCTGTGCCAGTCTGTGCACTATGCAAGAGCACAAGATTGCCAGGGTGGAGGGACAAGAGAAGCTTGGGGCAAGTGGGGAAAGGTCTGGAGGAAGAGAGGCTGTGGAGAGGCATTCTACACAACTGCAAGAATCAGCACTTCTCCTTCCCTTCCTTCCTTCCTTCCTTCCTTCCTTCCTTCCTTCCTTCCTTCCTTCCTCCCTTTCTTCTGTCTCATCCTCTTTCAGGCTTCTTCTTCCTCCTTGACTGGCTCCATATCATGATCTTGCTTAAAAAAGAAGCACAGACATTAGGCTGCCTGGATATCACAAATCAAACGATTAAGCCAACCAAGCAGCAGCAAGAGCAGCTGATGAGGTTGTGTGGAGAGGAGGAGGCCGTGAGAGTGTAGTGTGCATCATGGGCGGCAAAGATGGGACGTCACCTGAACTGTCTCCAGGCTGAGCAGGCATTTAATGAACAAATGCAAAAATATTCCAAGAGTAAAGGGTCTAGGGAGAAACTGAGTCAGGGTAGAGAGAGAAGAAAGACCCTGGGAGTTCTACTCTGTTCTTTTTAAGACTTCCCAATATAGGAAAAATGGAATTAGCACTTTCTAAAGCTGTGAATTATATTAATGACCAACTATGTGCTCAAAGTAATAGTGACAGGGAAGACATTGTTTCAACAATGTTTTAATTTCTCATATTTGAATTATTTTACTAGATAAAGAATATATGCATGGGAGAAAAATATTCAGATGATGCCAAAAAAGTAAACAGCAAAACATTTCTTTCCCTTCCATTTCTAATTCCTGGTCCCCAGAGGCAACCTTTTGTTATGGGTTTTCTTCAGTTAACTATCTTTGTAAATCAAAAGGTCAATGTCTTCTTTGCTGGTGGTGTTCTATTTATTCCAAATGAAAGTGCTCTAAAATTAACTCAAGAATTTTCTTCCTCCTCAAAATAAAGCCTGTTTCTCTGGGATAAACCCATCTTTTCTTTCACTGGGTCCTATCACCTCAAGGCTATTCTGGAGGCTAGGACCCATGACCAGTGAGACCTGGACATATCTTGTAAGGTGGGTATTGGGACTGTCATATGTAGGTATAATTATCCTCATTTTACTGATGAGCATACTGAGTTCCAGAAAGACTGAGTAACTTTTCCGAAGGTCATAGGACAGACAAGAGGACTGACTGCAGTTTGGCTGGCTCTCTTCAATCCATGGAGCTGCCTTCTCCCTTATTCCAAGAAGACCACTGATCTATTTTATGGTCAGTGATTCCCACATAAAAGTAAATGATTTAGCCAATTGATCAATCAATTTTTTTATTTATTTATTCATGAGAAAGAGATAGAGAGAGAGAGAGAGAGACAGGCAGAGGGAGAAGCAGGCTCCATGCAGGAAGCCCGACATGGGACTCGATCCCGGGACTCCAGGATCACATCCTGGGCTGAAGGCAGAGCTAAACCGCTGAGCCACCCAGGCTGCCCAATCAGTCAATTCTTAAAAAATATTTATTAAGTGCCTATCATGTATCCTATTCTATAATAGATGATTTAAGAGGATATATAAGCAAGGGATGGTGCATACAAAGAGGCTCGGCTCCTAATTTTTGCTGCTCCTCTCATGAAGAGGTGGAATCTATTTAGAACCTGGATTGGCCTGTGGTTTGCTTTGATGAATAGAATTCGTAGAAGTGAGCTGTGTAACCCCCAAGGCTGGACCACCCCCAAGTCCCTACCACCCTGATTTCAGATCCCTTGTCCCAAGTTACATCTGCAACTTCCACTTTCATGCCTTTGGAATACAGAGATGGAGAACCTTGGAGACAGCAAATATCAACACTCTCTTTCCTTCGTGGAAAATAGTACTGAGCAGTTGCTGGATTCAAGTCTGCTGCCCTCTGTTTTCTACTCTCAGGACATCTGAAGCCTGGGTGACTGTTCCAACAAGCATGATTGGTCTCATTTATACTTAAGACCCTTAATGCATCTCCATTCTTCCAGGAGAAATCCACAGACCTCATGACTTGCTCCTTACTCCTCCAGGCTCCTCCCCCGTCTCCCTTCCCTGTGAGTTCCAGGAACAGGCAGGTGCCACCAAGCACCGTGTTCTTACCTATTTCTAGACCTTCACTCCCACACCTCCTTTTGCCTAATCATCCTTCTCCTCTTCTTTGCTTGGCTGATTCTTATGCTAAGATTCAATTGTCACCTCCTCCAGAAGCTTTCCCATCTCAGGGTAGGTGCTGATCGTCCCAGATCTGAGAATACTCTCTGTGTACTTCTGAAGCCACCCTGATCAGATTCCATTGTAATGGCCTGTTTATGCATCTGTCTGTCCCACTGGACAGACGGAGAATTCCCTGAGTATTTGTGTCCTCGGAGCTGACACAGAGCTGAGCTAGGGCTTTTCCCATGCATTACCTCATTTCTTAGCTACACTATTATCATCAACATTTTTATTATTGCTGTGGCTTCTCCTTCTGTAACAGAGTGCTCCTGGGTCAACACTATCCAAAAATATTCCTAAGTGTACTGAAGGAAAAGCGAACTAACTGTATTTCAGAGTTGAAAACCAAAATAAAGAAATAGACCCCAAGTTTTATATATGATTTCCTCTGGTAGTGGTTTAAGTGAGAGGACAATTAGTCCCCAGATAATGTTTACAACTAAAACAAATCCTAGAGGACATACGGTGACCCTAAGGAGTAGGACATTGCATAGGAACACTGGGGAGTTTCAACAGGAACCAGCTTCTGGGAGGTAAAGCAGCCCTGCTAGTCCCTACCACCCTGATTTCAGACCCCTTGTCCCAACTGCTTGCTATCTTGGGGTTCACTCCCATACTATACACTTGGGGACAGGGAGTCCTCCATGCCTCCCTCTTGGGACCATGTCTCAGCCCAAAGAGCCATGTATCAGCCCAAAGAGCCCACAGAATAGTCTTATGGTATTCCAGCGCTGGTGGTTCCATGGGAAAACTCAGATTTCCCTCCAAAAGCTCCCACTGCCCCATTTCTGCCCTTCCCCAAGGACTCTTGGCTGCAGATTGGGGGGTTGGGGTGAAGAAGAGATGCTGCTGGACCCACCATCAGCATTGCAGACATTGGCCCCATGGAGGCAGGTCTGGGTGGGGGAGTGTGCCAAATTCTAAGTGGGGCAAGTTAAGTGATACAAATAGGTGAACTGGGTCAGTGGCAAGATGGCAGAGAGTGGTGGGAGATGAGAAAAATTAGACCACACAGCTCCTACTGATTCTTGCCATGAGGAGATGTTGGGTCTGTAGCAAGAGCTTTTCACGTTTCTTCAGATGCACCTAGAAGTTGGAATTTTTTTTTTAGAAGTTGGAATTTTAATGTGAAGTGCCCCAGTATTAAATACTGAACATGAATATAAAATTTTAAAAAATAGCTTGCCAAATAAAGCACAGGCCCACAGATATCCAGCTGGTGACCTCTCTTCTACTGTTATCATATGTTCCAAATTATAATCCATATCTCAATGTTGTCATTGCAGAAAGTCCCAGAATCTATCTTTTTTGCCTTACCGGCTCTGGGTTATTATAAAGCCCTAGGTAGGGGATCCCTGGGTTGCTCAGCGGTTTGGCGTCTGCCTTTGGCCCGGGGCGCGATCCTGGAGTCCCAGGATCGAGTCCCGCATTCGGCTCCCGGCATGGAGGCTGCTTCTCCCTCTGCCTGTGTCTCTGCCTCTCTCTGTGTGTCTATCATGAATAAATAAATAAATAAATCTTAAAAAAAAAAAAGGCCTATGTGGAATTAGGCTCCGGAAATTTGGGGGAGTCAGGAAAAAAGTGAGTTTGAATCTCAGCTCCGCTATTTCCTAGGTATGTGGCTCCCTGAGATTTTACTTTCCATGTCTGTGAAATGGGAACAAGAATTGTAACAGATACTGGTGGTTACTCGAAAGCAGGCATCCCCTACCCCTACCCCTGATTTGTTCTGGCTAATAGAGAATGATTTGGTTCAGGCACTGAAGGAGCAGTAGCAAGCTCAAGGGGATGAGCTGTGCTAGTTTAAGTCTTTGTCGGACTATCCCACTTGGCCAATAATTTGCCTAGGGTCAGGCATGAGACCCAGGTTTGGGCAGTGGATTGAGAAGGGAAGTCTGCTGAGGAGGTTCCTGAGATGTGTTTTCTTCCCCGATAAAAGAGAAGGTATTGAGGAAGAGGAGCCCGCTTTCTGCCATCACCTAGTCCTTCCTGTTTGGGACACTACAAGGTAAGTACAGTACATGATGCTCAAAGCTATGGCAGCCTTTTTATGACCATGGGAGAAAGGTAAAGAGAATCCTAGAAATGTTGCTCCACAGTCCTAGCAGTGTGGAGTCTGCTCCCAGACATTTCGTTAAGAAATAGTAAATGTCCTTATGGTGTAAGCCATTCTTTCCCAAATGTGAACATGCATCGGAATCACCTGGAGGGCATGTTAAAACACAAATTGCTGGCCCTCTACCCGTGTTTCTGATTCAGTAGGTTTGGAGTAGGCCCAAGAATGTGTATTTCTGACAAGTACCCATGATGCTGATGATGCTGGTGAACTACATCTTGAGAATTACTCTTTAAGCCACTGTTAGTGCCACATCCTATTACTTGTTGATGAAAACCCTCAACAGATATAATGACACTTACTCGAGAGAAGCAATTGGCCATTCATGGAGATACTCTATATATCCAGGAAAACCATAGTGCTTGGTAGACCTTTGTTTCTTTCATTGTCTTTCATTTTCATCTCCAGGT